AATTTTTAGTACAAAAGTAGTGTGTGTGTGTGTGTGTGTGTGTGTGTGTTCCGACGAAAACAACTATTTTTATTTATATTGTATGACAGTAATAAGCTGCTCAAAATAGTTACAGATTTGGATCATAGTGTTAAACGGTCGCTTGCTATTTTATACAATAATATGAACATGCGATACGTAATTGTATAATGTATAATCATGTTTGATAATTGCGACATATAACATTTTTAAAGTATAAATTAATTTCGATTTCAAATATCTGAATTTTTGTATACATATAGTTTTTATATATGGTATATGCTATTTTTGGATATTAAATAACAGAATACTAAGTGTATATAGAATTAAAAATAAAATAATTAGAGCGTGCAAAGAACAAGAAAAATTATGAATAATGACTTGTTTGTAACGTGATAATATTATCGTGATTTGATGATATTTTGGTATCTGTAACTGGTATCTTTAAAGATATCACCATATATTGCACGATCTTACGTAAATCGCTTTCATACATTGTAATGTAACATGATAAAATTGTTTGTAATATCGACTTGAACAATGATTATATTTGCTTAATTATAAACGCAAAAATAGTTTTGCATGATATCTGTTCAAATTGGAAATGTATAAGTAACGTCTTTTTTAAGAAAAAATCATAAAAAATTCCACAAATTATGGATAGAGCAAGCACACAAACAGACACATTTGTGACAGAAAATTTAATTATATTGCAATGATATTTTTCTTAACTCCATCAATTCAATTACCACGCAATTAGATAATTACTCTAATAGACAGAAAAAGTACAAAAAAGTATAAAGTACAATAACAGTATATAATATTATAAAGTAAAAAAAAAGGAAAAGAAAATCAATCATCTGTCGCACGTGTTCTATATTTGATTATTTTCATATTAATAATAATCATGAATATATTAGAAAATGTGACTAATTCGATAAGACATTAGAATATTTTTTGGAGAAGAGATGTGTCGTATTATTGATGGCTTTTCGCGATTCGAATCGAGTCCTATTCGACAGTCAATACATAAACGCCAGTAGAATTATGTTGCGGTTATTCAGCGTAGAGACTGCGACTACGCTTGCGCCGTTTTCCAGTTGATTCGTATCCGGAAAGATTCACATTGTGAATCCGAAAACAGTTTGCGCATATTCGTCACTTGACGCGCGTGGTGTGATTATCGAATTCACAATATCCGCAGCAACGTAATTTTTGCGGTAGATTGACAGGTAAGATTTGCATCTTAATCTAATCCTATATCATATCGAATATTCAAATCAATCTAAAACTGAAAATATGTGATTAAAAAGATGAATTTATACTTTCTATATTGGAAAAATTATTTGCTGAAAAAAATTATTATTGTATAAAACAGCGATATGTGTGATATCTTTCCATCTATGAAATTTGCACCATAACTTCTGAAAGAACTGAAAGAACACCTGAACTTCTGAAAGTGAAAGGCTGACTTTAAGAGTCTTTTTTTTTTTTTAAGCGACGCACACATATATGGACGTAAATTGCATCATCAGCGGGAAAACAAATGCGCGATATAGACACAGGAGTTGGTAACTGGCCAGACTACATTTTGTACATAGCATTATAGTATATTTAGACTAACCGAATCTCTTTATGACAGTCTGACATCTGTCGCTACGCAAATATTAGAAATATCGAAGAAAAGTGCACGGTGAAAACCAGAATTGTCCAACAAACTACTTTCTATTGAAACTTGAAATAATAATAGCTCATGTTACTGATATAAAATTACCAACAACTTTCACAACTTCCAAATCCTAAAGAGATGGTAATTTTTCACCGTCGTGTAAAAAAATTCTAAATAATATGAACAACTTTATGATATGTTTTAAATATAAATTTATATCTTTCTCAATTAAATTTTGCAATATTATTACAATAGCTAAATTATTATATTATATGTAGTAAAAACGAATATTTCCTCTAAAGATTATGATTAAAAAGAAGCAGTAAGTATTTTTAAAAGATGTATATTGTACCCCAAATAAGAAGGGAGGGTGTGCATCACGGCGGGGCCCGATCACGAACCAGTCGTGAAAATTCGTAATTATTTTATGAAAAATATCACCTCAGTCAGGACTCGAACCTGGATCTCTTGCTTACCGGGCAGATATCTTATTCTTTCGACCACAGAGGCATGTGATGATATTTATTGCAATAACGTGTTTAGAACAACACGTCAATGATACAACACATATACACATATATACATATATTACAATATATTCTCATTGTCGGTGTATTGTACAGCAATACATTGACAATGAGCAGTAGCTATTTCCGGTTGAGTATTCGCTTCGGTACATATATACGAGATGCAATTTAACATATATAATGTATGTGTTTCACTAATAATTTACACAAGCACGTGACTACTCGTCTGTCAAAATAACTGTGTCGGTATGCTCACGCATATAAGCATTGGATTGCACAAACGATGTTTGTTCAAAGATATTAATTTCTAATTTCATGTATTATGATTGCATAATTAACTAATGGTAAATTAATGTATGTTAATTAAAAGTTTGATGGCGATTAATTTTCTTTACACTTTTATTATTTACTCAAGCAATTTTAATAAGAAAAATATATAGCTTAATTTTTTATATCTTAATAACATGTTTAATAAGTTGTATAAATTATTTATATATTAATCTTTCTAAATATTTCCAGATTTCTGAACATAAGAGATTGACAACGCTTTAAATTATTGATAATATAACGGATACCGGTATATCCTAGCGTGTTACTGTATGTGAAACACGTATACGTGTTCAACTGCACGTGGAAAGCTCTTTATAACTCCCTGATAAATGATGCAACTTTAAGACTTATGCTTTGCTTGAAATTCTTAAAGGTATGTATTTCATTTTGTGCAATAGAATAATAGAATAATAGAATTGTATTTATTTCTATGACACTATATGACATTTATTCTTTTATATTTTATTAGTACTCCGGATAAAGTATTTTACTCTTGATTTTGCATGAGATACTTTTTGATATAAAATACTTTTTTTATGGATGATTTGAATTCACGCATGAAAATTATTAAATATATTAAAATAATATTAAAATTATATTAAATATATTAAATATATTAAATTATATTAAAATCTTTCGAAAAAATTTCGAAAAAATATCCAATGTATTGCTTCGGCTACATTCGTCGAGATATTCATGTTGCAAAAATATCTCTCTTATACTCTTACGCGCTTGTATGTAGTAGGTTACACGTGTATGTGTGTGCGTATAGTAATTTCAGAACCGTAATGTGTGTGTGTGTGTGTGTGTGTGTGTGTGTGTGTGTGTGTGTGTGTGTGTGTGTGTGTGTGTGTGTGTGTGTGTGTGTGTGTGTGTGTGTGCGCGCGCGCGCGCGCGCGCGCGCGCGTATGTATGTATTTATGTGTGATAAGAATGTAGAAAATATTAAAATTTGTTATAAAGACAATTGATACTTGTCATTGAATGACTCGCGCACAAATCATGCGCAACGATGGAGACAACGAAATGTCAGTCAAGGTCGAAGGTCGTTATAGATAGGCCGAGAATGAAATTTCAAGTATTTCTCGAGGTAATATGAGATGATCAATACTTATAAGAAGGCATGTTCCATAAGTACGGAATTTTTCTATGTAAAAACGAAGTGGCACACGTGGACTCACCTGTCTATGAATGTGAACCGAATCGTATACAGGAGCTGTGAATGCCTATACCCCACCTGATGGTCGGAGTGCAACTGAGAGAGACTACGCAAGTTGTCGTTGATCGTCGTCGACGGTTTCAAAGTCTGATTGTGTGTTTATCACGCGCGTGCGCTTTAGCTTTGGTACATGAGGGTGCTCAACTTTACAAGATTATCAAAAATACGAAGGAGACAGAGATCAGCTGGTCGCCTTCGTCACATGACCTTAAACTTATTATTTTGTAATAATATAAAGTAATAACAAGTTGGAAAATTTGTGCAAACAAATATAAAACAATAAGTCAAATATAAAATTGTAAAACGGTGCATACATATAATTCAATCAATATTTTGATTCCATATTATTGAATGTTTTCTAAAAAAAAAATTGTTAATAGATTGCTAATATAGAATGAGTATTTAAAATGACATAAATTGATTAATGAGTATTTAAAATGTCAAAAATTAGATTTAATTAAGATCAATTATTTATTTATAAGATTAATTATTGATTTATAAAAATGAATTTATCATTCGAGTAATTTTCTCGAACTGAAAAACAGCTATGTTATATTTCGCAGCATCCCTGTTACGTTACTGGCGTATATACCACGTAGTGATGAGTCCAAGAAGGAGGGCATTTGTCGGGGATGGATGACGACATATCGACTAGTAGACGGACAAGTCTGCGCACGAGTTTCGCGTTGAGAACCCTGACTTTAGAGGTCAATCAAGGGCACCTTGCTTAACATTTACCGAAACTGATGAGATTTTTTTAAACGGTGTTAAAAGTTGACGTATCTACGCGTGTGTAAGAATTGTTAGACGTGCCTCTTCTTTCTTAATCGCCATGTGTTATCGTGCGTGATAGTTTTTTATTGAGTAGGTTCGACTCGGTTCCATCATCCGTCTTGATTCTTATCTATTAGAGAGGAAACATTAAATGATGAAACGATTTTATCGAGTTTCTTTCAAATCAACGTATTGTCGATTTTTTATGTCTGTTTCAAATATTGACGTTTAAAATTTTACATTTTGTCAAGGACATAAAAATTATACGGAAATGTACTGATAATGGTTGATGCGATGATAGATAGAGTTTATCAACATACATTTAGTTTTTCACAGAAAATTTGATGAAAATTATACTTTGTATAAGAAATTATCAATAAAGATATTTTTATAAGCATCTCTTTTACATTCGTTTAATAATAATAATTTATTTATAACCAAATCTCACACACGTATTCGTAATTTTCGAAAATTCTGAACGGAAAATTTTTTATTTAAATTATACATATATATTTTGTAAAGATAAGATGATTAAATCTGCATATTTATATTTATTAAAAAATATTTTTTAATAATTTAACAATAATGTATATCTATACTTGTATTATATTAATATTATATTAATCTTTTGGACAATTACAAAAATTTATGAGTGCGTTGTATGTATAATTATAGTCTATATATAAACAAAAAAAATAAATATCTATAATTTATATTTGAGTACATATGTTGGTTTTTTCAAGTCGCAATTTTCCTAAAGATGCTTCGGAGCATAATTGAGCTCTTTTAAGAAATATTGCTTGAGCCTCATCCACGTTCTCCGGATTGTTTTTCCAAATTTTCATTGCCGAATTCTAACGGAACAAAAAATTATAAAATTATAAAAGTTTCAGAAAGCTCAAATTATGATAATATTTGATGCGCATAATTAGCAACTATTATAATTTTTTCTTTATTAGTGTTTTGTTTATTAGTTAATAGTAGAAATTCCTTTAACGCTTATGGAACCATTTAGAAATTTTTGAAATTTGAAATAATCTCGAAATTTTTATCGAAAAGAATTTGTAAATACTTATAGAAAAGAAATTTCATTTAATATAATATGAATTTTAAAGCACCTGCAGAGCACGTCCATAGCAAAAGCTCAGCCTCCATGATTTTTTATCGTCATACGCATTAATAGCGTTTAGATTTAATACGGCTTCTTCATCTGTTTGGCCACCGCTTAGAAAAAGATTGCTGGAATTGCCGTGGGTACTGTTCTTCGTAATGCTTTTAGCGTATATTCAGCGACGATCTTCGACATAATATTCGAAAAATATATTAAATAAACATATATTATTCTTAAGAAAAAATTAAGATTTACTTACAGTATTAAAATAAATATTAAATAATACCTGCGGCTTGCATTTTATTGCGTTCATGCCTGATAATACCATCGCTGGTTTTAAAATCATTCCTTCTAGATATACGTGATATTCATTCAGAGCACGAAACAGGATTGACAACATTTCTTCGTGAACTTGCAAAGCCCAGTCTATACCATGCTCGCCATTACTTAATATTTCCGGTTCCACTATGGGAACTATTCGCGCGTTTTGGCAGATGCTAGCAAACCTGTATAAAACAAAACATTTGAAAATATTTCACAATGAAATTTTGTACAACGACTGCTTTCCATAAAATTCCATAAAATTGCATTCCTGTTTTACATGATTTTCACATGCTAATTTTTATATATTTGTACTATCTATCGCGAACGCCAGTTGTAAATTTTTATCCATGTTTAATGATGGATTATTAATTGCATGTACATCTTTTGCAAGTCGCGCGATACATAACTTCTATGAATATTAAGAGACAACAATCCGGAGAGATACCTCGCAAGAACATTTGCATTGGCAACCATCGCTAACTGACTGGGACGTCGTTCCGAAATTGAAAAAACGCATCTCCATTTAGCAAGATGGCAGCCCTCTTTTTTATATCGAATGCAATTTTCCTCTAAGTCGTCTAAACCTTGCGTAGTTTTTTCATCCTCCGTGCCGAAGAGATGCACCAGGCCTCGATCGACTTTTACACCGGCTATGATGTTCCTTCGACGTAAGAACTCCACAAATTCCACATCTTCTGATGTTTTTTGATAGATCATTTCATGATGCAGAATCACGCCACTTATGTATTGTGAGAATTGAAACTGAAGCGAAAAACATGCGAGCTTTGTTAAGTTAATTGTTTTTTACATTACCATGTTGCAATAATAAATAAGTTGTAAGTGGATAACAAAATTTTGGATGACAAAATTAAATTGTTTAAACGATGCATTGCTTCAATTATTATGCATTATTTGTTTTTGAACAACTATTGTAATTACAAGCCTACATTTGAGCTTTATTGCATTATGTTTGTGTCGCGATTTAAAATTTCTACTGTCATCAAGACCTTGTCAGCAGACAATAGCATTTCTCGATAAGCACGTCTCGTGGATTCGGTATTTTCTATACCAATTTCGTGGAATCTTTGATCCAAACCCGCAGGTGATTCGTCGCAGGCTAACAATCCTTTTTTAGGCGCAGTAATCGTTTCAATAATTTTGCGCAGTTCCAAAGATAAAGCAGGATCAAGTTGGGTATATTTGGTAACGGATGATGATATCTGACATATTCCAAAGATTAATATCGATATAAATCTTTACAGAAAAAGCCAATCATTTAGAGATAAAAAATAATTAAGAAAATTACTTTTCACATTTTATATTGTGATGAAGTGTGAAAAATATTTGAAGTTTTACAAACAGATTGATGCATATATACGTATAT